GGGGTCGCCGGGTGGAAGTAGTTCTCTGTGAAGTTTATGCTTTAGAAAACGGAAGGCCAAAAGACTCAGATTTTATAAAACAAAGTTAAAATATAACCCAATAGTTGCCACCTTTAAGAGGTCGCTATACCTTCAGGAGCAAGGCCAAATTTGATCGCAGGCCTCATGAATCCAGGCCGTCACCCGCACCCCCAAAGGTTTCTGCCGCCCTGACGGTGCTTTCCCTCCGGCCTCCACGTTTGTCGCGGTCTGATTTCGGAATCACTTGACTTCCTTCCACTTTCTACGCGGCAGTGCCACCGCGAGGCCCCTCTGAGACCCAGACGCGCTGGGAAGCGTTCCCAGCCTGCCCCTCGGGTCGCGGCACCCACGGTGCTGCGGAAACACTTCGTTTTAGCTGCTTTCATGACCCGTGAGGATCTTGCCACCCAATGAGCCGAGCTCCTTTGAGAACACTTCCAGGCTGGAGAAGCCGTGGGTGCCCTGGGAGGGCAGGGCCAGGCACAGCCGGCGCGGAATGAGTGGCAGAGACGAGGCCCAAGCGGATCGCCAGGTGCCTATGAGCGGGGATAAGGGAGCAGAGAACCCTCGGGCATCGTGCAGCTTGATACAGGGAGAGCTTTGGAAGTAAGACCACGGAGTGTATTTAATTTTCACCTGAGGACATGCTTAGAGAGGACGGAAGAGAGAGAAACATCGGTCAGTTCCCTTCACTGTGCTCCCCGACTGGGGACCAAACCCAAAACCCAGGCCTGCGCCCTGGCCCGGAATCAAATCGGCACCAACACTCAACCAACGGAGCCACGCATGGCTGGTAGGACCAAGGAGCGTAGATGTCATCTTCAGGGAGTGGAAAATCGGGTTGGAGAGAAGGAATGGTGAAAGCTGTTTTGGAGAAGTTACCTCATCTGAGCATGACAGTCTGGCGCAGGAAGGGCCAGGCCTTGTCCGCCTGCCTCCGGACACCCCCTTCCTTGTGTGGGTATGTGCCAGTCTTACGGAGCCGTGGCAGCCACAGGAGGCTGTGGCCTGGACCGTCGCCGGGAAGCCCTGGCCTGGGTTCCTGAGACCCCCTCTCAGCTTCTCCCCTTCTCTCTCCTCAGTCCCCTGCCTGAAGATTCTCCTCAGCAAAGGCCTGGGGCTGGGCATTGTAGCTGGGTCGCTGCTGGGTATGTATCTCATCCTCCTTTTCCTGCTGTTGGGGGGATGGGGATTGAGTACGAAAATGCCATAAACGGGATGGGTCCCTTAACCAGAAGTGGGGCAACATGCTTCTCAATAGCTGTTTTGTTGTGCTTCCAAGGGATAGCAGCTCTTCAACCCTATCCTTCTCATCCTTTCTCAGTGAAACTGCCTCAGGTGTTTAAAATCCTCGGAGCCAAGAGTGCGGAAGGGCTGAGCCTGCAGTCAGTCATGCTGGAACTAGTGGCGTTGACTGGGACCATGGTCTACAGCATTGTCAACCACTTCCCCTTCAGGTGAGGGGTTTGCCCTTTGTCCCCAAGGGTAAATACCCACGACTCTGGTGGGGTCGGGCTGCAGGAGGTGAAAGGGCAGGAAAGGCTTAAGCCCTTTTGGAAACAGTCATCACCTATGGAGCTGATGAGAGGAGGTGAGCATCCCATGAGTGCTCCAGATTCAGAGTGAGTCCATCAGAGGTGGAGGTGGTGGTGCTGGGAGGCAGGAGGTAGGAACCAGTAGGGCTGTGGAGGACAGGGAGGAATCAGTTGTGTCTCCAGATGGACGGGCTATGGAGGCTTTTCCTGCCTCTTTCCAGGCCCGCCTTTCTTCCTTCCAACTCTTGACTCTGCAGCTCTTGGGGTGAAGCACTATTCCTGATGCTCCAGACGGTCACCATCTGCTTCCTGGTCCTGCACTACAGAGGACAAACTGTGAAAGGTGCTGGGATTTACCCAAGACCAGGCTGTGGCTCTTGAGAGCCCTGCCGGGTGGAACTCCACGTGGGGAAGCCAGAGGATTCCTGAGGTTGATGAGGACTCCTTGTCTCTGTCCCCTAGGTGTGGCTTTCCTAGTGTGTTACGCTCTGGTCCTGCTGATACTGCTTTCACCACTGACGCCCCTGGCCGTGATCACCATACTCCAGGCCTCCAATATGCCTTCTGTGGTGGTGGGGAAGGTGGGTACTGGGAGCAAGGAAAGAAATATTGGGAGGAGGGACTCGGTGAGGAGCAGAGTGGAAGCTGTGTATGGGAATATTAGACTGAGAATGGGGGGAATCTGATGGGAACATGGGAAGAATTCAGATGATAGAACAAAGGGTCTCAACTCCTGTTCTAGCTGCTCCAAGCAGCCACCAACTACCGCAATGGGCACACCGGCCAGCTCTCGGCCATCACAGTCCTTTTGCTCTTTGGGGGCTCCCTGGCCCGAATCTTCACCTCCATTCAGGTGAGTTCACCTGCTCCCCTCTAGGGGGCACTAAAACATCTTACCTCCCATCTGAGGACTTAAAGCTGTCTGGTCTCTGGAACCTTTTTGGGGGTGGGGGGTGGGGGGGGCGTTGAAGAGTGACCCTAGTTCTGTTTCTTGCATTTAGGAAACTGGAGATCCCCTCATGGCTGGAACCTTTGTGGTCTCTTCCCTCTGTAACGGCCTTATTGCTGCCCAGCTGCTCTTCTACTGGAATGTAAAGGCTCCTCACAAGAAGAAAAAAGAGTAGTAGGGCTGATCCAGCTACTAGAGTCCATTCCATGTTTCTATTCATCCACCTAATCTCAGGGTCCTTCTGAGCCAGCCTGCTGGTGTGACTTTTAATCATTCCCCATTTCTCTGCAGATGCAACTTTTTGAGCCAGCATTTGTGTTTCTGTGGAAAGGCATAGATCAGGGGTCTTCAAACTACGGCCCATGGGCCACATGCAAATACAAATATTGTATTTGTTCCCGTTTTGTTTTTTTACTTCAAAATAAGATATGTGCAGTGTGCATAGGAATTTGTTCACAGTTTTTTTTTAAACTATAGTCCGGCCCTCCAACGGTCTGAGGGACAGTGAACTGGCCCCCTGTTTAAAAAGTTTGAGGACCCCGGCATAGATGGTAGCCCCAATCCTTAGAAAATGGGGTAGAGATTTTCAGGCTGACATGATATTGATTGTGCACTGTCCTGTGTATGCACTATTAACTAATTTAACCATTTGCTGAACTTCTTTTAGCAATATCTAGCTACTTACCTCTCCTGGGCAAAAGTCTTGCCTGCCCTCCCATCTCCCCACTTTCCTTTTGGCTTTAAGAGGACAAAGCCTGGACAGTGCAAGGGACTAGGGGCTTATGGCTGCCTCCCTCCCCCAGCCTGGCTGGGACTGTCTCCTGGACCCCAGTGCTGGGTGGGAGGCAGGGGAAGGGGGATGGAGAATGACTCAGTCAGGGCCCCAGGGTGGGGTGAGGAGGTTCCTGCTCTGGCAGGTCCAGGCAAAAGGGAGTGGAGATGATGCTGGTTCCTGTTGTAGTGAGGGGGAACAGAGATGGGGCAATAAAGACGCAGAGACATGGCTTAATTGTACAAAACCGTGTTTGTCCTACAAAAAATATAAAAAGTTAATATTGCTCCCTCTGGATGGGGGAGGGGGAGAGGGCTGGACTGCAGGCCTCCTCTAAACTGTGGTCCAACAGTGCAAAAGAAGGGTTTGCTGTTTGGAAGTAAGGGGATAGTTCTGGGTGAAAAAGAGGTTGGAGCCCTTCCTGGGAGGTCTATACCCATGATTATTAGAGGTGGGCCAGGGGCATGGGGGCCCCTGAGAGGGGAGGGTTGTAGGGAGTAGGAGAGCCTGGGCGTGGATAGGGACTGTAGTGGGGGAGCAGTTCCCCCTGGAGCCTAGGGTTACTCTGATGGAGGGAGCACACCGAGGCCTCTGGTTTAGAGTGGGAAGAGCTGCAAAGAGAGAAATACGGGTTAGAAGGCACTTTCCTAGGTTGGTGATGCCAGGCAGGGTCCCCAGTGTGCATGTGAGGGCAGGTCTGACTGGTTCTGGGTAGACAAATAGAACTTAGCCATCCCTATTTGGGCCCATTAGGTACTGCAGGTCCAGAACCAGACCCAAGGCTAGCTTAGAGAGCAGGGCAGCCTTGTTGGGGCAGGCTCACCAGCGAGCTTGCGTGCTGTGTGCCTGTTTTCCTCTTTCAGGGCAGCAGGCCAGAAAGGGGCAGAATTGGGATTAGCCTCTCCTTGCCCTGGGGGCTGAGAGGAAGTCAGGTCACACCAGGGCCAGAAGCCGGTGGGGGTTGGGGGGTGGAGGAGGGTAATGGCAGGAAATTCAGACAGGTAACTGGAACAAGGTCAACATCTAGGGGCCTGTAGTCTGCCCCCCGCCGGGCCACCACTGCCAGATGGGTGGGAAAGCCCTCCAGGAAAACCCTGGGCCACCAGAACCCTCCCAAAAGAGCTGGGAGTGCTGGTAATGGTGCTGCCCAAATCGTCACGGCAGTCCCTAAACCCCAAAGGGGTGACCTCGGCTTTGTTGGGTTCAGGACCCTTGTCAGCCAGTCCCTCTGGTATGCGCCCCATCTAGGCTCAGGGAGGGAGGACTCGGCATCTCCTTCCTCACCCCCGCTCCCAGCCACTTACCTGAAACCACGAGGCAAGTAGGATGTCGAGTAGTTGGGGGGCTGGTACCCAAAGCCCCTGCTCCCCTGGGTGGTCACGTATCCTGGTCCCCAGACCGGCCCGCTGACAGCCACACAGCCGCTTCCCTGGCCGAAATGGGGCAGCCCAGCTCCCGCGCTTTTAGTCTTGCGCCGTGGCCGGTACTTGTAATCGGGGTAGTCGCGCAGGTGTCGGGCCCGCAGCCGCTTGGCCTCCTCCACGAACGGCCGCTTCTCGTCCTCGCCCAGCAGCTTCCACTGCGCGCCCAGGCGCTTGGAGATCTCCGAGTTGTGCATCTTTGGGTTTTGCTGCGCCATCTGGCGGCGCTGAGCGGAGCTCCACACCATGAACGCGTTCATGGGCCGCTTCACCTTCTCCAGGGGAAGGCCCCCGGCGACCACGGGGCTCTCGGCGTCCTCCCGCTCCTGGGAGCCCGAGGATGAGGAGGCAGGGGCCGTGGGAGTGGGAGGTTCCAGGCTCCAAGCCTGGTCTTGTGAGAGGCCGGGTAGCGCCATGGGGATGGAGGGAAGCCTTAAAGAGGGCGCCTACACGCCCTCTCCTCGAAAGCGAAACGTTGATCTCCAAACCCGGTATCCTTAAAATGGAAGTGTCTTCCTAGCGTGGAGTCGTTCTGGAGAATCTCGTGTCCTTAGAAAGTATATATCTCGTCCCCGAGTTCAGAGTCCTATTCTGGAGCCCCGCTCGCTACCGGATCCGTCCTGCACCCTGAAGGAGTGGAGTGCAAAATCTGTACAGGGCAGGCTGCTCTCTCCTTTCCTGGCTGCGGTGCAGCGTCAGACCCCGTCCCGCTCCTACCTTTGGCCGGTCGGTCTGTGGTGGAGGCCGTAAACTTCCTGCTCAGACTCCAGTATCGGAGCAGCCGGCGGGGCAGCGCAGCCCGGGTACCACAGCACTCGCACCTGGCCTTGGCGGGTGAGTCAGGCCCCGGAACAGCTTTTAAAGACTGACTCCTTCCCACTCCCTCCCAGCAGGCCGCGCCTCCTCAAGAGCGCCAGCATCACCTAGGCAGACCCAGGGATCCTGCTCTTCCCAGCCCCCAACACCCCTTCAGGGCACCACGCCCGCTCCCCACCCAGGACCCAGATGTCAAGCCTTCCAGCCCCTGTAGCTCTGCAGTCTTCCCCTCCCTTCTTAAGCTTTGGCAATTTAAAGTCAATTCCTTTGCACAATGGAAGCAAACACCCGAATCAAAAGCCCTCAGGGTCAATTGTGCTAGGACAAACTGGAATACCCCACACCCACCCCAAACCCTTTTCTTGTGCCCAGTGCCCCTCAAAACCCAATCTGCCCCTGGGGCAAGAAGTCAGGGCAGTTACAGGGAGGCAGGCCATTCTTGTTGCCTGAGTCATCCCAGCAGGTGCTTGGGTGGTGATTCAACACCACTCCAGGTGAGAAAACTTAAACTCTCCCAACTCCAGCCCCCAAAGGTTTCTCCACACACATTTTATCTTCAAACTTTAGTCAGAGTCTGAAGGCAGGGAGCCAGGAACCCCAGGACAACTCCCCTGGAGTTGAGAGATCAGTGACATGGATGCTGGAAGGAAAAAAAAAAGGTCTGATTCCAGGGCAGGAAATGAGGGCTGGACATCAAGGCCCCACTCTGCCCAAGACCCAGCCCAAGCCCCGGGCCTCAGGTAATCCGATTAAGCAGCCAGTCTTGGCTCGTGGCTCTTGGCAGCAACAGTTCCAGCTTGGGCAGCCCTGCCTAGCCAGCTGTGACTCAGGTACAGGAGTGGCCCGGCTCCCTCCAGCAGCAAACTTGGGGGGAGGAGAGAAGCAGCAAGACAAAAGCCACTCTCCTCAACCAGGAGGGTACCTGGGCCTAGGGAACTTAAGACTGTCCAGAATTCCCAAAGTAGACCATCTTTGGAACACTAGAGCCAGATGCTGAGAAACAGAAGGCAAGGTCCAGGGACCAGGACAGAGCAGTCTTAGAAAAACAGCGGGACCCAACTGGGCACAAGGGAGACACAAGAACCAGAGAGCCGTTTGGATTTTTTAATTCTCTTTTTAAATACTGTACAGTGAAAAATAAATACGCCTTCTCATCCACCAGATAAGGTTGGTCCCCCTTCCCCTGGGGGACCTTGTCACCCCCTTCATACACACCCCTGGTTCTACTCCAAAACCTTCCCCATGCCTCCCACCCACTTAAACCCTTACTATCCCCGTCTTCCACAGTGATGAGGCCCCAGAAATCGGGGGTACAGGATGGTAGGAGGGATAGCAGGGGAACCCCCCTGAACTGTCAAATCTGGGTGGGTCAAGAAGCACCCCGCACCAAAGGCGGAGAATGGGGGTGTTCAGAGAGAGATTGGGGCTTTAGAGGATAAAGGCACATCCAGTCTGATGGGGAAGGAGAGGCTCCCCTCACCCTGGGGTAGGGTGGACAAGAGGGAGGTGGGTATGACCCTGTTACACACCCTCCACTAGCTCCTGGAGGTTGGGGGGGGACCCAAGCTTCTGTGCCACCCCCCTCCCCCCTAGATAAGAGCAGCTCCAGCGCAGGTCAGTCGGGCCTGTGAGGGCCATGGTGTTGGGCAGCAAGCGAGATGGAGAAGGGAGGGATGCAGGCTGGAGGTTTTATGAAACCCCATTCACCAAACTACCCAACTCCAGGGGAACGGAGAGCTCCCCATTCTCTGAGGGGCCCTTAGGAAGCTTGCTGACAGAGTCACCCTGAGGGGAAAGTGGGAAAGAAAATGGAGAGGAAAAAGTAGTCAGTAGAAATTCAGGGAATGACATTCCCTATCATCCTAGCACTCCTGGCATCTGGTGACCCAGGGATTGGTCCTTGAACTAAGTCACTCTCAGTGGGACCCATAAAATATGAACCAATGTTTCCTGGAAACTTATTTCAAATTTCCCACTATTCTAAATATAGTCTAAACTCCATCAGACATAGTCTTCTCTGCCATTTAGCAAGAGATTTCTTTGTGAAATTTCTTGTGTCCCTTGCCCCTAAAGAACAAAAAAGGGGGGAGGAGTAAATTACATCTTGCTTGCCTACCTTCTTCTGTCCTGAAAGAGAGTCCTCTAAGGGTTTAGTGCGCTCCAGGGTTGGCCGCTGGCGGCTCTGAGACTCTGCTCGGGAGATATAGTCAGCCACAGTCACTGGGGAAGGCAGAGGACGAAGAGTTTCAGAAGGAACCCAGGTATCCGGCCCCTAGATACCCAATGAACCCCAATCCCTGGTTATCATAGGGTAGGAGGCATCCCATT